AGGAAATATTTGGTATTCATTGATCAAACAATCAGTAATAGCCATGCTAAAATTATTTTTTTAAATATATATATATACGAAACATTCGGCATTCATTGACCTAACCGTTGGCGTTACTTTCGGTTGTAATTTATAAAATCATTCTCTTAAAACAGGAAATAGACTTCTCGAATCCATTAGCCTTTATAGCTCTTTATAGTATTGATGGAAGTTTCCTTCCAAACCTTTTGTTTAAGCTAGTGTGGATGGTTGGTGGAAACATGACTAGTTTAGTGATCACTTTATCAAACCGCTCTTCAGTAGAGCGACCTTTTGTCTTCTTCTCAGTCAGAAGCAGAAAAAACTTAATGTCATTGTCAATGCCAACAACGATCTACTCAACATAAACACTGAGAACAAGAATGTATTAACTTTGGCACTACACCAATTATTCCACGAAAATGGAGTACTGTTGCCATATTTGGGATCTGCCCTGTCTTCCCTTTCCTGTCTTTATAGAGTTCAAAAGCGTCTTTGAGTCCTTGTTGGAGAAGAATTATTTCCCACCCTCCAACATCTCTTTCACAGGTGGGATGTTGTGAACTTCTCACTGCTCTATCGCTAGTTCTATGGAAAGTGCTCGGACAACTACATTCCTTGGTTCCGACACCTAGGACCTGCCATGACACTTACATAGTAGCATACATACCACGCAGTCACATGCGGCACAAGACCGAATTTAATGCGGGGTTCCCGAGCCCCTAGGCTCGGCCAAAAAATCCCCGTAGACCCCGCATAAACAGGATCGGGTCTGTCTACCTCCCCGAACGAAACTCTGCTCTTCGGCATAGCCTCGTTCATTTTCCTCTCTGCCCGAAGACAGAGAGTTCGACTAGCGCAGCTGGGAAAGATCCCAGCGTGACGCTATTTAGTAACTGCCCCACGCAGTCACATGTGGCACAAGACCGAATTTAATGCGGGGTTCCCGAGCCCGTAGGCTTGGCCAAAAAATCCCCGTAGAACCCGCATAAACGGGATTGGGTCTGTCTACCTCCCCGAACGAAACTCTGCCCGAAGGCATAGCCTCGTTCATGTTCCTCTCTGCCCGAAGGCAGAGAGTTCGACTAGCGCAGCTGGGAAAGATCCCAGCGCGACTCTCCAGTCCGCTAGCCTAACGATACTTAAACTGCTCCTTAACGTAACCCTCTACCTCGAGTGGCCCCGGGCCTTGCACAGGGTGAACAAAAAATAACTATATTATTGTATATATGTATTCACAACATGATAAATAATGCTTAAGTTATATAATAAAAATCTTACGTCAGGAAATCGTTTATTGCAGTTATCTCATCGTAAGCTGAAATTCACAAGGTATATTTATCTTGGAAATATAAGCATACGACGGTTTTTTACTAACAATTTTATTGCGGGGCGATTCTTCTTCTATGTATCGTGTCCCTTCAGGACGTTGGCAATCATTCGTCTTCATATCTTCATAACTTTTGTAGCTCTTACTAAGCTTTGTCTGTCAGTCACTATTCTGCCAACCAATTACACAAGTTTGTTAGGCAGATTACGTGCTACATTTCTCTGTCCTCAGGATGCCTTTAAAATGTCTCATCAGAGTCAGATTTTCCAGCCCCTTTTCCCTCGTTATGTTTCCTAGAAATTTCAACTCGCTTCCTGATTCTAAGTATAAAGGATATTTTTCTTTCCATTTTATTCAAAACTTCCTCATGATTCACATGTTCACTCTATGGTGTTATCAGCAGCCTTCTCCAGAAATACATTTCTATTGCCTCAAGTCTCTTCTTCATCTGAAAATATTAACTTGCGTTATAAAATCTCCACGTTGCGTATATTAATCTGTTTCTTCGGTTCTTTACCAAAAAAAATAAGTTATAATTATTTAGTAGTCTTCAATAATGATCAAATGGCACCAGACCTTCCAGCACCTTCCTCGGTATTCTAGCTCAATTTAGTAATGATGTCTGGGTGGTTTTGATTCATTTTCTGATTTCCGGTTTTTTCTTTTCAAATGCTTTGCAAAGAAATTCAAAACTGTTCCAAGTGCTTCAGATACAACTTACGCCCTTATGTTCCATATTTCTTTCACTGTCTAGACAATAAATATATGTAAATATGATTATATGTATATATAAAATATATGTAAATATGATAATATATATTGATAAATATTGAAATTGTTATATTCATATAGATATTGATATATGTATTGATAATATATATATGAAATATATGTAAATATGATAATATATATTAATATTAAGTATTGATATCGGGATATTGATATTGATATATGTATTGATAATATATATTGATAATATATATAAAAATATATGTAAATATGATAATATATATTCATAAAAAATATTGATATTAATTTTGATAATACGTAAAAATCCGCCTTTCTCTCTACCGGGCGCTGATAGCTCAGGGGTAAAATCTGCGACTGATGCCAAATCGGTCGGGCTTCGATCCCGGCTTGTGGCAATCAGAT